ATATTTTATTTAAAATTAAGCTAATTAATTATTAAATATTAATAAATAAATTCAATTAAGCTGAAACTTTAATTGAATAAATAATAATTTCAATTAATTTAATCTTATAAATAAATAAATTAATTAATTTTAAATATATTATAATCTTAAAAATTAATATTTTTACTACTTAAGTTATAAATTTGTTATGACATCAACGAAATCTCCACTCAGATTTTAATTAACTATCAGCACAATTCAATATATCAATACATTTAAATAAACATGTGATAATAATATTGATGAAATTTAATGTTTAAATTCTAATTTTAATGAAAATATTATTTTTTTCATGTCTATAGGATATGAAAAAGCTCTCTTGAACCATGCTCGAAACCAATTGCATACCAGATATCACTGTAAATGAGACACCAGAAAAGGTTTGTACATGGTTCTTTTTAAATTTTTCTAACTAAATCTAAAAAGGCAAACATATATATACAAAAATATATTACATAAAGATAACTTTGTTTCTGCTATGCTTATGTATTTACTTATTTTGAATTTTTGGTTAATAATGGGTATGCCTTTCTCTGTCCTCCTCTGAATATGTTTATGTTCGTCGAAATTATGCTTAGAACAAGCATATAAATAAATAATTTATGTTTTATTCAAAGCTTTTGAGAGGTTTCTTATTCAAAAACACTTCGTAGGAGTTAATGCTTAGTATAATTTTTCTTGTCGATCATCATTAAGTTACTTAACTTTGGAGACTCTTTTTAATTAATCGAAGTTAAACTTTGTATGATAAAATGGGTTGTAAATAAAAATATAACGGTGATTTTTGCTATTAAGTATTTTAAAGTATTTATTTAAATTCTTTTTTACATAAAAGGGATTTTTAGTAGCCGTTACTAAATTATTAATATGAATTATTTAATATGGAAATGCTGATTGAATTATAACAAATCAGATTAAATCATGTGGAAAATTGCTAAATTATCATCGTCATTTAGTGTATTATCTATAATTAATTTATTTTTATTAAGTTATCTAACATAATTATACGCATTGTGAAACAAAATAAATTATTTGGAATGCAATCTGTAATGATCAATCTGCAAGATAGTTTGAATATCATTCCTCCTCTAATTTATAAATAATTGCTATATTAGAAAGTAATAAATTGTCTAAAAATTAAAAATGTTATTATATTCTTATAAAATGTTTTAAAATATTCAAAAATATCAGCATAATTTTAATGTTATCACGAAAAATAGCACATAAAAATTGAGCTTTGATGTGAGTAGAGAGAAGAAATTAATATTTTAATAAATTATATATACTGTATATATAAATTTGACATAAAAATATTGAAGGTTAAACGATATTTCAATCAATATAAAACAAAATATATTTAAAATATTTACTTTAATAATAAACGTAAAAAGTATTTCCCGTTTATTATTAAAGTAAATTTAATAATAATTATATGTATTTTTATAGAATTTTAATATTTAATATTTTCAAAGGAGTTGAACTTTTACTGGCAAACACATTATTATCCTAATTGTTTAGGAAATATACGCAAGGAAAAGAAAGATGGTCGAAGTTTAGTTAGAAATTTTTATATTGAGAGTGAGTTTGTATCCAAAACTTGTTTTTACATCAGTTCCAGAGCTATGATACTTTACATTACTAATTTTCATTGCTATCATAATTATTTTGTATATTATGAAAAGGAAAATCAAAAAATTATGCTCTTTACAGTAAACAAACTAAGTTTCATTTTATTTAGTGCCTACACTTCTGCTAGATACAGTAGATATTCTATTTACAAATATATTTCTGACTCCTATATTATATTCAATCAATCTCAAACTATAGTAGAAAAAGGAACAATTCTGTTATATTATATTCTGTTCTTTTTACTTTGCAACTCGAAAGTTTCGAAATGAAGCCAAGTTTGCAAACATGCATTTTTTTTAAATGGGGGAAAAAGGATCAAATTTCCACTTTTTGTAATAATTTCCGTTTATTTAGATTAAATCTAAAATACACGTATAACAAAAGCATCAATCATAAGAAATTCTCAAGGATTTTTCGCCAAAATGTATTTCTCAAAAGTACACACTATTTACCCACAGATGGTATCAGGTCAACGATGTCGCGTCTTTTACCGAAAATAATAGTATTTAGTATCTCTATCTCACTTTTCCATGCCAATAGAAGTGTGTAATACGGAGAAACTCGATCCTCAACTCATTCTTCATTCTGGATAACTGTGTGGAATTGAACGACATTGCTTCACAACCATACATCATTGTTGATATCTCCTTTACTGCCATATCAGTCGGAGAGAACAGTACTTGTTCGTTCGACTTTAAGGCACTGATTTTAGTTTCAAATAAGCCTGAATTTGACAATGATAAATGACCTCTAGTTCACAGCTGTTGCTCATTATCTTTTCTATAGTCTAGCTAATAGCTTCTCTTTTCACACTAGCACATAGCCTGATTAGTTATGAACCAATGAACAATATTATCGTATTGTCTCTAGGTGGCTTTTGGAAGCATTCTTTAGTTTAAATATGCCAAAGAATGCAAAGAAACACTTTCTAAATAATCTAGAAACTATTTCACGTACGAGTGTAAAGTGATAGTGTATCCCCTAAGGATTTAAAGATCGTCCAATGCATCAATCATATTAAGGATCAAGGCATTGACAGCTTGAGGACAAAGACTTCCAAGTTTGATGTGGTTATACAATGTAGCTTCTGAATATAGATAAGATGACTTTCAATCGAAAGACATCACGAATGTGTTGGTGCTTTTATGCTGTAGATTAATTTTGTCTTTCAATACACATATACAAAAAATCTCCTCTGTACTAGTAACAATATTCATTTAACTGATTACATTTTTTAATGTTCACATTTTATTCTCTTACAGTAAGAATTGATCCTTACAACAACCTTTTTTTTTAATAAATTAAAACTAGTAATCATTCATCTAACGTCAATAAATGCATATAACGCTGTTATATATACACTATAAATCATTTTCGATAATACGTTAGACTTTTTAAATTGTGGGTTCTTTAGCTTGTATTAGAATTTTTAAAACTAAGAAAAATGATCTTACGTTATAAATATGATAAACAGTAACAATATATCGACGTATTTATGCTAATTATAAAAATGATACAAGTCTATACATACGAGATTATATAAGAAAAAATACTAAAGCTACTAAAATACTTAACTGTCATTCATGTAATGACATTAAAAAGATCTAATAAAGTTTAAGAATATTTTATTGAATTAAAGAACATTTAATTCTATTGAAGAGCATTAGAGAACATAATGCAGTTGAGTAATATTTAATGTAGTTGGAGAATATTTAATTTGGTTAGAGAACATTTAATGCGGTTGAAACTACAGCTGAAAGAATGCGCACTGAAGTTTAACGTCGTTTAATACTGTTAAAGAATATTTTATTGTTGAGTATTTCAATTGCTGCTAAAGAACGTTAAATGTTCAGAATAATTTAACGTTTATGAAGAATATTTAAAGTAATTAAATAACAATTACTAAGATACTAATTGTATTACTTATTTTACAGTAAATTAATTATTGTAGTAAATACGTTATGACAATAGCATTAAATAATAAATAAATTTTAAAATAAAATAAGCAATAAATTAAAAGAATACTTAACTAATATTATTTTACATTTATTTTTTAAGTTATTATATTATAAAACTTACTAAAATTTTATTTACGATATAATATTTCATTATTTATCAATAATCTTATGACATAATATTTTAAAATATATGATATATCTCACATTATAAATTTTATTTTACTTTTTCTCTTAATATAATATTCATAAATATTCAGATTTACAACCTGTATAAAAGTAAGAAGAGCTTTTATTGCCTTTTTTATTTATAAGAAAATTTTTTGTAAGGATAACAATCAAATTACTGATAAATATTTATAAGATTACAAATCAAGCAAAGTTTGCATTCTCACTCAATCTACTTTATTGTCAAAGGATTGTACACTGAGAACCGTTTAATGTTTCAGCTTATTGAATATGGAAAAATCTATCCTTTTTTTTTCTTTCTTTTAACTCACATTTAAGGTTTAGGTAGCTTGTAATGAAGGATGATTTAAAAACCTCTTCAAGCGATATTGCTCTACCCTGAACTAATGAATATATTAAAAATATGATGGGTCCAGTGTCAATCAACATAATCTTTTCGAAGTATTTTTAATTAGTTGTGTAGAATATGTAAATTTTCGTGATAAAAACACGTCAAAACTTTATAATTTTTATCATAAAAATGTTGAAATTAATGAGTGAAATTATAAAAAAACGCTATTTTTTACTTTCAATTAATGGTTATCAAATAATTATTTTTTTCTATGTATAAAAAATAAAGTTTAGTTTAATAAGAATGGAAATTTTCGTACGAAAGCATCAAGTTTCAACTTAGAAAGCTGAAATATATTGAAGAAAACATTTTCCGGCAATCTACTTTACATATAAGACATAGAAGAGTTTCGAGAATTAACAAGTTTTCAATTTAATGACACCCAAGGGGATAAGGAACAGTAGAACGAGTTGCAAGGATTTATAAGATCCGGATGGTAAATACATAGTTTGAAAGCGGTAAAAGTGGCATTTTGTATAGTGGAAAGACTGAAACGAAAATTGATGGCTTCCCGATGGAATTAGCTACTTCTTTCAGGCTATCGCATATCTATAACCTTTCTAAAGTGGCGAAAGAATGACGAGTTTCGTGGTTTAAGGCAGTTAAGGTATAAGAACAAGAAAAGTGAAAGCCATTTCAATATACTTCCCCGGAGACGGCGTTAGATTGATGTCATTAACTACGAAGCTTAGACACATGAATGATTTCAACATCGCTTTTAAAACCGATTTACCGAATGCTCCGGAAGATAGATTTCTTACTAGAGTATCTCCTAAATACGAAATTTTACACTAGATTGTTACATTATAAAAAATTTTTTTTAAAATAATAATAGTAAATTTAAAGAACTGCAGTTATACAAATTGGTGTTTTTTATTGGTATGAATTTTACAATCCGTTTCAGAAAGTAATAATAATTATAATATAGTTATATATTTATATTAGTATTGTTATTATATAATATATCTGTAGAAGTATTCATTTCATAAAGTATAATATTTGTTCCAATATTAGTACTCATCGAATTCAGTGTAACTATATTGACAAAGGAACTAAGAAACTTCGCAACTTTCTTCAACAAAGGACAGGAAATGTAAAGAGATTCAATGGAAGCAGTGATGCACGGATCTATGCAGCGTACATCAATATGAATGAATTCATGCAATAACTCTAACTTGTACAAAACTACCGACATCGAATGAAATGCAGTCATTGTAACTGCATTTGCCATCAGGTTGGTTTAGATAAAGATTTTCCTTCGTTTTATTCAGCTATCCTATTACTTTATTTTTATTTAATAATTTATTTTTTATATATTTATACAATTTCTTCAAATATCTAAATATATTAATTAATAGAACAAATGATAAAAAAAATTTAATTAGTTCGTTTAATTCACGAAACATTAAACAAAGTAAACAATCTTATTTAATGCAAATAAATTTTATCACATTAGTTTTATAAATATTTTATTATATATANTCGTTCTAATATTATAAAAAGTGCAATTTATTTCTCTATCTTTATGCCGATATTCATTGTTTAAAATTACTATATGTCTTGTGTTAAAAATTCATAAAGGAAAACATAATCGAATATTTTTTGTAATATATTTAATAATAAAATTTAATAACATTTATCATTAGTTTTAACTGAAAAATTTATGCATTTATAAATAATTTATTCTATTTACATCATTAAACAACCGAAGAACAAGTTATATTCGTAAAGATAGTCATCATGGAAAGGCTGTTCGAGTAAAGGATCCTCAAGTAGGAATAGGATATGAGACCAAAATAGGAATAGGATGTGATTAGGTTACTATTATAAGTTATTTAAAATAATTGAATTGAATGTTGAAGTGAACTCATGAGAGTTGAGTGAAATTCGGAACTAAAAAATGAAAGCTTGTCTACCAACTAAACTTATTATAAGAACACCGGCTTAGATCAATGTCTCGATTTTTCTCGGTCTGCCAAAGCATCTGGTACTATAACTCAATAGTCTCATTTTACAAAACAAGTTCAGCATTATAAAACTCTGTCTAAATTGTTTTCGTCAGTCTAAGATTTTGAAAATGAAATAAAATAAATTACTGAAATTTTTTCAATTTCGTTATTAATAAAATCTGCTTTATATTTATATTATTATTTTTTTAATATAAATAAAACAATTTATATAATTTAATTCTATACATATTTATATAAATAACCTATAATTTATTTAATAAATGTTTACATTTATTGAAGTAAATTAGTATATTTTCTTTCTTTAACTTTATAAAATAAAATAGAAGCGATTTGATATTATTCAAATATAACAAATTGAGCAAAATTCGATTTAGCAAAATAGATAAAATAACGGTATCATAGCACTTTCAGAATAATTTTAAACTGAATCAATGCATAGAGAAAGAGAGCTAGTGATTTTATTTCTTAAATTGATTACCGTGACCATTAAAAGTATCAGTCTTTTGCAGAGACCATTGAAGTTACCATTACGTAGTCTCTGACAAGAGCTTCCATTATATACAGTACTGGAAATTGCTATTCTAAATGACAATGTTGAACCGACGAGAAATATTTAAGAAAATTGAATTTGTTCTTTTTTCCATCTCTTAGATTATAGGGGTTGAAATTCCCTATGCAAAATAACTTTACAACTTGAAAAAATCTTCTTTTTTTTAGATCTCCTTTTTCGAATTCTTGCTTCATTGATCCTAGTGTGCGATAATAGAATGAATGAAACTCGGAGAATAGAAAAGAGATTCAAAGTTGGAATTAAATTACTGTCCTTAGTTCGTTGTATCTAACGAAACCAAGACTTCGTTATGCAGAGTAAAAGACTATTTTACTTTCCTTTCTTTCAGTTTGTAATTAAATTGTATAGCTTAATAGGCTGTAAGGTTATAAGCTACATTAATGATCACTTTGCTTCATTAGTTGAACAAGATCCTCTCTGAAATTGTATTTACTACTGAATATTTCCTTCAAATTTTTTCATCTTTTCATTTACTTGTATGTAGAAAGCAGAAATGTACGAAGAAAAATATTTAGAAAAACTTTAAAAAATTACTATAAAATATATTTTATTTTGAGACAAAAAGAATTAAAATAAAAATACGAATACAAAATACTTTATAAAACCTTCTTATCTTCGTGTAAATAAAACTTTATTTTAGTATTTAAATTATTTGAGATTATTCTTTTAATCAGTTGTATAATTGTATGTCTTCTGGCCAATTCAGTTAATTTAAATATTAATGCTCGAAACTTTTTTCCAATTAGTTAGATTAAGAAAATATTGATGAAGTGGCGGTGAAATCCGTTTAGCAAAATGCAATTATTTTACTTTTCCTTTTGATGATAAAAATAACAATCGCATTCATTCACTATAACCGTTGTAATGCATTTTAAAAAATTACAAAATAAGAACAAATTATGATATTATCTGAATAATTTTAAAATAATAATAAAAAATATTATTAATTTCTATGTATAACGTCCCTTTAACCGAAAAAAAAACTTGTTTGATAGACTGTCTCACAGCATTTCTGGTTAGAAAATTACGACTTTATCTCACAAATTGAACTCATATTATACATCATATTATACAAATGTATTTCGGGTTGGTGTATAATCTGATGTATAATATGAGTTTAATTTGTGAAATAAAGTCGTAATTTTCTAACCAGAAATGCTGTGAGACCGTCTACCAAACAAGTTTTTTCTGGATTAAAGGGACGTTATATATAAAAATGAATAAACAGCAACCATATTACATTACATTAAGAAATAATATTAATACAAATTAAGAATTTTGTTCAAACCAAAATAGAATTGATTGCATACTATTTAAAGTACTGTTTTTTTTCTTTGAAACTGAAGATTGAATGAATTTTTCTTTAGTAAATTAATAAAGTTTTGTCCTACTTTACTGCAGCTGCAGTCAAAAACTGCTTTGAGTCTCTATCATATTTCTGTGAAAAATCTTAATTAATTTAAGTTTGGAATCTTCATAGAGCCGTTTCTATGTGTAAAATTATTCTTGTTTTCCGAAGTTCGAGAGACAAACATTGTGCCAACTTTCGATTTATATAAAGTTAAGAAATTTTTTTAAATATAATATTTTAGTTCAAGTCATTTTAAAAACTTTATCGTTCTAATATTATAAAAAGTGCAATTTATTTCTCTATCTTTATGCCGATATTCATTGTTTAAAATTACTATATGTCTTGTGTTAAAAATTCATAAAGGAAAACATAATCGAATATTTTTTGTAATATATTTAATAATAAAATTTAATAACATTTATCATTAGTTTTAACTGAAAAATTTATGCATTTATAAATAATTTATTCTATTTACATCATTAAACAACCGAAGAACAAGTTATATTCGTAAAGATAGTCATCATGGAAAGGCTGTTCGAGTAAAGGATCCTCAAGTAGGAATAGGATATGAGACCAAAATAGGAATAGGATGTGATTAGGTTACTATTATAAGTTATTTAAAATAATTGAATTGAATGTTGAAGTGAACTCATGAGAGTTGAGTGAAATTCGGAACTAAAAAATGAAAGCTTGTCTACCAACTAAACTTATTATAAGAACACCGGCTTAGATCAATGTCTCGATTTTTCTCGGTCTGCCAAAGCATCTGGTACTATAACTCAATAGTCTCATTTTACAAAACAAGTTCAGCATTATAAAACTCTGTCTAAATTGTTTTCGTCAGTCTAAGATTTTGAAAATGAAATAAAATAAATTACTGAAATTTTTTCAATTTCGTTATTAATAAAATCTGCTTTATATTTATATTATTATTTTTTTAATATAAATAAAACAATTTATATAATTTAATTCTATACATATTTATATAAATAACCTANTCCAGAAATAAATACTACATTATCTTCAATCTGGAGATGAAATTTGTTAAAATAAAATATTTTGAAAGTTATAAGAAGAAATATTTGTTAAATTATATAATGAATAATTCAAAATAATATCAAATACTATTAGTACCAAAACTGAACACGTAATATTAAAAAGAAAGTAAATAGCGGTAATGATTTTTGGTCTTTTTCAATGTAATAATAATAATAATAAATGTAATTTATTTATTTGCCCAAAAAAGCATAAAATTGCAGAAGGAAAAATAACTTAATTTTAATTATATATATTAATCAAGTGGAAAAGTTTATAAATTTTTTAATAACGTTTAAGATTTAATTATAATAACACGAATAATATTTTTCGTAGTAATTAAACGGAGATATAATTTGAATTAAATTGAATTTTTATACGTAAAATAATAATTAAAATTAATAAAATTTATTTATTAATAAATTTATAAATGTAAAAAAGTAAATTTAATAAAATAAATCAATTTTAATCGAATAAAATCTAGAAGTATAAATACAATCTGATTAATAGAAGTATTGTCTTTATTATTATAAAACATAGAAAAATCGATTTTTAGACTTTTTGAAAGAAATACATTGTTTATTTTTATAAATTCAATTATTAAAATAAATTGCATTTTTCAAAATATCGAGTTTGGGGAATACAAATTTCTACATTCGAATTCTTAAGAACATTAATAATGTAAAATGTTATTTAGAAACAGTATTTTATTTTAAAAATTATTTTTATTCTTGATTTAATATTAACATATTAAAAACAGTAATCTTCAAAAGCTAGTGTTTAAGTAATGCCGCAATTTTCTGATTGGTGCCAATTTGAAAGATTAATAAATAAAATAAGACGATTTGAACATTGATTCATGCCAATTTTGCATGATAATGTTATATTCTAGGACTTCAACGTAATCTCAGTCCAAAATAAAAATAAATTTGACCTTAAGTTTTTATACTCAAGGTCAAATTCTTTTACAGATTGAAGTGAAATACTGTATCAATAAGTTTCTGCACGTTAATGGAGAGGTGTCATGCAAATAAATGGAAAATATTTTATTTGAATTTAAAAAAATTTAAATAAAATTTTATTCTTGCTTGCGTGCATGATATATGCCATGTATCATTTATTTCACTTTAATATAATAAAAAAAAAGCAGTTTACCTAAAACAATTATCTAGAAAGTAGTAATCAAAAACATATGTAAGGCTGGACTTAAGTTCATTATTAACCATTAATCACTTTAAGCCCGACCTTTCATAAAAATCTGCTGTTCATTAAAAACTTATATAGTAAACTTAGTACGACTTAGTTTA